GGTTGGAAAACTTAGATGGAAGACCCATCCCTTGGACGTGGAACTCGGAGAACCTCCGGATGTACTACAGATGAATGTAATTTTTTTATGAAAGTAATGAATGAATGAAGCAAAGTTCCTCTTCACTTCACCTCGGCACCTTGTCACCTCAGAGTGTGGTGACCCCCTCGGCTATCTGCACTTAGCGCAAGGAAAATAATGAGACAGAGCCCTCGGCTTTGCCGATGGGACGCCTCAGCCTCCCCCGAGAAAACACTTGGTAAGAACGAGTTAGGGGAGCCGCACCCCAATGGTGCTGCTCCGCCATGGCTCTTCATCCACCCAAGTACCTCGGCGGTATACCTCGACCCTAGCCCTCGGCTAGGGTGCCAGGTCTCTTCGGCCTCACCTGGGATAGCACGGGACTTGGAAGCCAGGTGAGCCCTGCCTCTAGCGTATGACTCTGCCTCGGCTCCCAATGTCCCGACAAGCCGAGATGAGCGTGCAAATGAACGAATGCTACAACTGAATCGTGTGTGCCTTGTGTATCGTGGTTTCAACCTTTCGGAGGGGCAAGGACCTCTCACGAAAAAAAGGAAAGGAGAAAAAGAGAGGAAAGGAGACAACATACACAAAACACAATGTACACAAAAAAATGGCTTCATTCATTTCATTCACTATTCAACTTTGATCTTGTACAAGCCTTTACAAAATTTTGTATTGTGTTCAAAAAACAAAAACAAAATAACAAACAAAAAAAACAACAAAGCAGATGACAACTATTACAGCAACAGAGCAGAATAGGAAGAGGGGAAGTCTACGCCTACGCCTCATCATGGGCCAGAGGGGGAATGGCATCTTCAGTTGGGGGAGCCTCGGCAGGAGTGTCGGGGATCACTTGAAGTCCCTCGACATCAAAATCCGGCAGCACCAACAAGAGTCCCTTCTTAGTATCTTCTATGCCATCGAGGTATGATGACGAAGCGTACTCCGCCAACACATCCAGGTAGTCTGAAGACTTCTTCTATGTCTCCACTACCTCGGCCACTACCTTCTTTGATTCCTCTGCTAGTTGTCGCCTCTGCCTCCGTGACGATGCTCTCCAACCGCACCCACTCCACTTGCTCTTTGGAGAGCCCTTTCTGTGCCTCCTGCAGCTGAACTTCGAGGTGGTCCCGGAGCCCATGGCTAACCTTGTTCGGTCCCCCAAGCCAACGAAGTGTAGACAGGCCTGCCATAAAACCGATCAGCGAAAACAAATATACATATATATATATATAAACATATACACGGTGAAATATTGAATAACGTCTTACCTCGGCCAAGTGGTGCAGGCCCTTGTCGTAAATAGACTTAGGGTCACTTTGTAGAAGGCAGTAGCAATCCCTCGGCAGAATGGATCCGCTGACCAGCTCCAAGATGACCCCCTCGTCGTGGATGGAGTCCCCCTCTTGCGGGAGGGGCTGACAAAGGCCTAGATGGGCGCTCCCCGTGCGCGGACCTCCACACCACCTCCTCGGCCTGCCTATCTGTGTTGGCAAGCTTCCGTGGGGGCTCCTCCCTCGGCGTGTTAGTGGCAGGCCTCTTCTTTCCCGCCTTGGCCCCCTTCGTGGGCCTTTTCGGCGCCTCTTCCCGAGTGGTCAGCTTCTTCGGCACTTCTCCTCCAGTGGTGGGCTTCCTCGGCACCTTCACCGTCCTCTTCGGTGCCACCACTATCTACTTCCCCTTGGAAGGTACTTGCGAATCCCCCCCTTTCCCAGGGTAGGGGCAGTTTTGCCGTCGGGCCTCTTCGGCATCTGTCCACTAGCCTACTTTGCTCGGGCCTTCGCCAACAAGCGCTCCTTGAGGTCCATTGGAACTTCTGTGAAACAACAAAAGAAAGTAGTTAGCACATCAAAAAGAAAGAGAAAAGAATGTGGAAGACGCAGCAACTACAGAACCTCTCCTACCGAGGGAGGCTGGGTTAATCCCAACGAAGACTAGGGGGACCTCCTCCTCCACCAACGGCTTCCCTTGGAATGTTCCCATTACAAGTAGATGAGCCACTACTGTAGCCTCTTCGTCTCAGAGCGGTGGGGGACATCTCTCAAGTAGACCTATTCATGGGCCAGGTGGCCCGACGGGCCGGCCCGGCCCCCGGACGGGCTTGAACGTGGTTATAGGCCTGCGGGCTTAAATTCGAGCCAAAAAGCTCAGCCCGCAATAAATTTGAGCCAGGCTCGGGTTTTGTCAAAATAGCCCGGCCCGACCTAATATTAGATTTAAAGTGGGTAATGTGATTATGTCCATTTGAATACATATTTTGATTTAAGAATGTAAAATTGTATTTTAAAATATAAAAGAAAGGGGAAAAAAACCATCTTGTAGGCCCATTGTTCATTTAAATAGGAAAAAAAAACTATCTGAATTTTTAATTCTAATTTGAATAGGGAAAATTGTTTTTTTTTTATTAGGTCGGGCTTCGGGCTTTTTATCAGGGCCAAGCTTGGGCCCAAGTTATAGGCCCGTTGGTCGGGCCGGGCTCGGGCTCAGGCCTAGCATATTTCCCTTAATGACAAGTGAAAGCCCAGCCCGAGCCCGGCCCGGCCCGACCCATGAACAGGTCTACTCTCGATGACGACACGGGCCTCCCCCCAGTCAGACCTGAAGCACCAGCCCTCGGGGCAGGAGACGTAGAAGAACTTGTCCTTCCACCCGTGAACGGAAGAGGGGTTGTGCGTTGATGTCCCTCACCTTGGGTGGAAGTAGTACATGTCAGCCTCAAGAGCATGCTTCCTTGGCACTAACATTGCGCGGATTAGTCTCAACGTCAACTCCACGCCCCTAAGTTGAGCCCACACCATCATCGCCACGATGGTCCTGAGAGCGTTAGGTACGAGTTGGCTGATAGTGATGTTGTACCACTCCAGCAGCTCGAAGATCAAGGTTGGGAGGGGAAACCTAAGGCCAAACTCTAAAAAATGCTGGTAGATGCAGATTTCCCCCTCCTCGGGGGTCCACTGTCTATCGCCCACGCCAGGGACCCTTAGGATGTAGGACCGAGGTATGTGGACCCTCTTCGCCAGGGACTAGACCTAGCACACGTCCAAGGAGCTATCAAACTCCGAGCGTGGGACGCCAGCATCATCCATCCTTTGGGCAGCACTCCCCCCTACTGGTTCGGCGACGAGTTCTGCGGCATCACCCTCGGAGAGAGGAGATCCCTCAGGCTCCCTTGGTGACACCGAGGTGGCACTTTCGTGGGGAGAGTCATTTCTCCGGTGACTGCCCTCGGCACCCCCCGAGGTTAACCTTTCCCTTAAAACGGCCACCTCCTGTCGATGGGGAACTACAGCTATGGAACCTAAAGAAGACAAGGGAGAGGGGGTTGTAGGAGAGCTCCCTCTCAAGATGTTCGGGAGTTCATGGCACTCGGGACTAGAGTCTGAAAATGACATTTTAAGATTACCTAAAAAGAATGGAATGTCCCCAAGAAAGAAAGAAGCAAAAGAATTCTGGAGACTTGGGAGTTAGGGAGTTGTGTTCACTTGAGAGCAAGGGCGTCTAAGTCCAAATGGAGAAGAAATGCACTGCCCCTATTTAAAGGAAAATGAACGGCCCAGATTTCTCCAAATCCGACGGCTGAAATCAATCCGCTCCCACCATCCAACTATGATGCGCCACCTAGCGCAGGCCCTCGGAAGATGAAACGACACCCAAAGCATTAGTCCAGATCGGTGCAGATCCAACGGACACGGGAGCCCCCTAGTGCAAGCCCTCGGAAGACGAAACGACGCCCAAAGCAACAGTTCAGATCGACGCTGATCCAACAGATGCAGGAACCCCCCGTTGGGGCTCCTGCGAACCAACCTCACTGCACCTCCTAGCGCATGCCCTCAAAAGGCAAAACGACGTTGAGTGAACTGCAAAGACCGCCCGCCAAGCGAACCGAAAGGCTCGCTCGTCACGAACCACCGGACGGACCGTTCAACCTAGCAAACGCATGACTCCTAGGACGGTTGTCCCCTGCATGGTAGCCCCGCTAACGTGACCTGCCCGTGCGAGATACGAAACACCCCCGTCAAGCCGAGACATCCACATCGCCCGCACTTCCGAACCAAAGAGTGACAATGCGAACAGCAAAGACGACGCCACTGCAGGGCATCCCTCGGCTGATGATTCCGAAGGCATAACGACCACTACTCCCAATGATCGAAGCCGAAGCGTGGGGGGCAAGTGATGTGGGTTATCTTGGCCCAGCCCACTAACACCTACTAACGTCAGCCACAGTAGGCAAAAGCCCTGCTGCCTTCGTACGAAGCCAATCACATAACTATCTGACGTACCGTCAAGGCCTATAGTCTGACCTCGTATGGCTCTCATCTGAGGCGTTCATCTTCACCTACCACTAGCACACTCAAGTATAAATAAGAGGTAATTGCCCCTTGAAAAGGGGTTGGAATTGAGTAATTCCAACATTACTCACTCATTTACTTCTTGCACCTACATTGTCTACCTAGCATTAATTCAGGGAGATCTGATGCATCCAAGGACTCTCTCCAGAAGTACCCTTGCACTCTCCCCTACTTCACATCTCTTACTAACTTGAGTGTCGGAGCCTCCGCCTCGAGTATCCACCCCAAGGTCTTTGACACTTCCTGTCTTGCAGCATCTCAGATCACCGGGGACCCCGCCTCGGCTAGCAGTCTTTGGCTACCATAGTCCTCGAAACTTGAAGGGTGAATTTACCTTGTCCTCAACTTCGGTCAACCTCTTCCAAGGCCTCAGGGTCCTCAGCTAACGCTCGGAACTTGAAGGGTGAATTTACGTTGTTGCCCTCGGCCAACCCGTGCAAAACAGTTCTCTTCTTCCTTCCCATTGAATAATCAATCAAACAAAACTAGATTTTATAAACTTCAACCGTCAGTATTCAAAGTATTCCACATTTAGGTTTGTTTTCTTCTGTGTAATATTTGCCTCTTTTGCTGGTTTTTAACATGAAATAAAGGTATTTGAGAGGGTAACAATAGAAATTGGAAATTGAAAATAAGGGTTTTCGAAACTCGTTTCTATTAATGGTCATAGATACCCAGAATTTTGGATTGCACGAATGGAACAGTGACATCTTGGTCAGTACTGCATAAAAAAGTAATAAATAAACAAATGTCAAGGAAAAACAACGACTAACTCGCTTAATTATAAAAGGTATTTGAAGATTTCTTCAGCACCATCTTTTCTTTTCCAGGAGATTGACAGTGTCACAAATCATCACTACCTTGCCTTCTGCTGCATAAAGATTCCAGTTTGGCAGTATCAAAACCCAGATCTCAACTACGTCTCAGTCTTACCAACTCAATGTCAAATATCAGAGTTCCAAGCGTGGAACCCTCTCCATTGGCCAGACGTGTTGGATTGAAAATGGTGGTAAATAGCCTCTGCCTGTCAAAAAACTGCAGCAAGGGAAAAAAAAAATAAGCACATCGGGACAAATTAATTTCAGATTTCAATTAAGTGCGAGATTGTTGCCTTCTTTGACAGAATTGGCTAGCACAGCACCTTTAGGCATAAACGAGGTGAAACAAACAAGAACTTAAACAAATAAGAACTTTACCCACACACATTTACTGTTACCACAAAATGCACCTTGCAGAGGAAATTTTGCACCAACAATTTAATATTATACCCTACCATGCATGCATTGTTAGAGCATTGGTTTTGCAAATATATGGGTGCAACATGAGGGAGATGGTGGTGATTGGGTGGCTATAGACAGGTAGTTTGGGAATATGGAGTCAAAAACAAAGCATGAGGGATATTAGAAGCCTTTCAAGAGGGGTTGGTGTGCTGTTTAGATGGGTTAGAAGATCAGTAAATGGGCTGGCTGATTCTTTAGCCAAACAAGGAACAAACAGGGGTGACTTTTTCTGTTCTGAATTGTAATTGTTTTTCTTTTGGGGCGGTTTCCTACTCTTAGGGACTGGACCTGTGTATCTTGTTTAAGAATTTCCAAATTTAATGAAAGTTATATGGGTACAACATTATAAATTTTTGGGTAAATTACACATTACTACTCTGTACTTTGAGAGTAGTGACAATTACCTCCCTGGACTTTCATTTGCTACAAAGGCCCCCTGATCTTTCAGATTCCAACAAAGATCCCCTCCGTTAGCATTCCCCGTCAGTTAACTCTGAAAAAGATTCTCATGTGACTGTTTAAACTTTTCTAAATCCCTAAACTACCCTTTTTCCAATGATTTTGTTTATCAATAATAACTATTTCATTAATCAGTCTGTAAATATAGTACAAAAAGGGAGATAAAATTTCTTAACTCCCCCTACTGAGGCCAAAGCCCCAGACAAAAGTCTGAAATTACAACTGAGCCCAAAATAAAGTTTCCCTTTTTTCCAATGATTCTTAGCGTTTTTTTTTTCCGATTTCCATTTGTTACTGGTTCAGTTGATATTAATTGCATGTTGTGTTAGTTGGAATGCCAGGTTTTCACAGAAGTTTCTTGGTTCTTTGTTGCAATTTTCATTTTATAGAAGTTTCTTGAGTGGGCATTTTGGTAAATTAACTTCTTCAACCACTGAACTTAACAGAGAGGGGGTCTTTGTGGCAAATGAAAGTTCAGGGGGTAGTTGCCACTACCCCTAACCCCTAAAGGGTAGTAATCTGTAATTTACCCTAAATTTTTTAACAGTAATAATCAGAATTTATTAATTAAGAGAAGTTGTAAACAAGTATGCAACTGTTGAGAAATCCAAATCAACTCTCTTACAGATTAATTGAATAAGAAATCAAAAAACAGTGGTAGTAGTTAACTCAACTCTCTTATTTAATTTCCTAAGTTTAATAAGAAATCCAAATCAGATTTACCACTTAAGTAGTGAATCTCAAACAAAATAATAGGCATAATTGCCCTGTGCTTAGTACAGCCTACAGGATCATCATTATTCATTAACTAGTAATATAGACAAAGCAACACTGGATAATGTATCTTTGTACAATTGTACTGTTATAACCCTTTAGTTACTTCTTGCAAAGACAGTGACATCATTTTACTTAGTTTTAATTCACTCTAAATAAAAGAACAGTGTGGGCACTACCACGGATATTGGATTCTTCCAAGACCTCTCATTTACTTCTTTTCTCTCATTCTTCCATCCTCTATGACAGATAACATAGTATCTTTTTTTTTTTTTTTTGATGAATGACAGATAACATAGTATCAGAGAATTATCCATCATAGATCTGATTAAATCTTATATTTTTTTCCTTTTCTTCCTTCTACTTTTTCATATCGAAGTGACTAAAAGGAGATCTGAGTCTCTTGATCTGATCACAGACATCAATACCCTTTTTATCTCAATTTTTCTTTCGTTATACACCACTCTCTTCATTCTTTTTGGTTCTTTTGAGCCTACTGATGGTGGTATAACTATAAGTGCTTCCATATGCTACTGTTGGGTTTTGTTCTCATATGGTGGTGAGGCAGTTGAGGATCATGACTACAACCAAGTTAGGAGATGACATTAGAGATATGTGTGACTCATTACATCATGTTTGAACAGGAATAGCTCTAACAATTTGCATTAGGACTGAAAACAAAACTAATTTGTGGAAACCATTTACAGCCATGGTAGGCTATAAGCCTATAATGATTCTAAAAACATTCTTTATTGGGTCATGTCAACCTGTTGAGTTGAGGGGAGACAGCAATATGATGCCCATCCTTTTGTGACAGAATAGTAGGCTGAATAGGTCTGTGAACCACTTCTGCTCTCAGTTACTTCTGCTATTACCTTTGTTCAAAGAGTGAAAGACTAATCATGGCAACTCAAAAATTAGCTACCTCTGGTATTTCAGGTTTTGGTGTTATCTGTTGGTAGGAGAGGAAAACTGGGGTACTTGACTAGCAAAATCAAGGAACATCAGATGAAGGCTTGGCTCATGAAAAGTGAGAATAGAAAACTACATAATCATGTCATGGTTGTAGCTGTCAATGCAGCCCACACTACAGAAAAAAAGGACTGATATAGACAAGGGCATTTGAGAGCAAGCAAAGTTTACATATATGGAGCAAAGACATTTTGCACATATTTACCAACCCCAAGTTGAATCATTTTCTTGTCCTCAAGGTCGTAAGAGTCTTTGAATCTACTACTCTACCCTCAATGGTCCCCACCTAGTCCCAACTCCCAACTACATAAAACTAGACTTTTATGGTTGTGTCTAGGGAATCCAGGGATGTCCAGTATTGGTTAAGTGTTTGGGGACCATAATGCAACTATTTTGGCTCCCTTCTTTAGGGATGGTAGGGTTGGGAGACTCATAGAAAGAAGGAATTTTAGTTGTTACACTGACATTAATGGGTAAAAGAATCCCTAAATACTATAATGAACTGATTAACTGAATAATGAATTTTCTTAGTTTAACCATTTGAGTTTCAATTTTATCAAGTTATGTAAGCATTGCCAAGTGGTTAATAAAGTTGAGAAGCAAACCACAAACAAAAAGGCAAACCAAAAAATGTTAACCATTTCTTCCATGTCCCAGATTAGACCTGAATCCAGGGTGTGATGGGCCGCGAAGGTCGAACAGGGTGCCTACGCGCAACCCAAAGTACGTGGACTAAAAAACCTTCATGCATGGCCCATGCAATCCAGCCCATCATTCATGGCCCATGCAACGGCCCAATAGAGCAGGAATCGGTCAAGGAGGTCAGGGTGCTAGCCACAAGAATCGGTCAAGAAGTTGGGTTGTTAAGTTATTGATTGTTAGTTTGTCTTGGCATGAGAATCGGCCAAATAGGTTAGTTTGTTATTCTTGTTAAGTTGTTAGTATGAGATGGCATAGGGATCGGCCATGTAGTTAGAAGGCTAATCCCTTACTTTGAAGCTATCTCAGTGGTAGGTAGTTAGAACTTTTTGTATTTAAACACCATCCCACCACATGGATGGGGCAGTTGGAAGTAATAAAATCTTGTGGTCTTATTCTCACCCTAAGCAGAATACTCTATCACTCTAGCTTTGACTGGGACCTATCATTGGTATCAGAGCTAGGCACCATGGCCACTAACAAAGAAAGAATTGAGAGTTTGGAAGCTAGGCTCGGGGGTCTCCAAGCAAATTTGAGCAGGCTCGAGTTAGGGGTTAATGACAAGTTACACCAGCTCGAGGCAGCTATTAGTAGGATGTCCGAAGCCTTGTTGACTCGGCAGGAACCATCTCTGAGCCACACTAATGGTCGCAGCGGACAGTCCTCCTCCGGACCTTCTCGTGACAACACAGAAGGAGGACAACCCATGTTCTCCTCGAAATTAGCCAAGCTCGAGTTTCCCAAGTATTCCGGTGATGACCCAACCGAATGGTTCGCCCGTGTTGACCAGTTCTTCGAATACTAGCACACCGAGGAACCACAGAAAGTATCGCTTGCCTCATTCCATTTGGAAGGGGAGGCAAACCAATGGTGGCAATGGTTATGTCAGGCTTATCACGAAGACGGGAAGGAGGTAACATGGAAGATTTTTGTAGAAGAGCTCTGGGCTCGTTTCGGCCCAACTAACTGCGAAGACTTCGATGAGTCGTTATCAAAAATACGACAAACGGGGTCTTAGCGGGAATATTAGAAGAAGTTCGAAAGATTGGGCAATAGGGTGCACGGATGGACCCAAAAGGCGTTGGTGGGCACGTTCATGGGAGGTCTCAAAACAGACATAGCCGATGGAATTCAGATGTTCAAATCGAAATCCTTGAAGGAAGCCATCAGCCTGGCGTGAATGAAGGATGAACAGCTGCGTCGTCATGAGAAGACTCTGCGTTCAGCCACCAGAACCGCCGGCGACTCTTTTCCGACAAAGACGAAGACGACTCCACCATTGAAACGTCTTTCTTGGACAGAAATGCAAAGGAGGCGTGTTCAAGGTCTATGTTTCAACAGCGACGAGAAATTTGGGCCCGGACACAAATGCAAGGGACCGCAGCTGCTACTACTCGTCGGAGACTGTACCAACGACGAACCAGAGGATGACAAACAAAGCTTCACCGACCCGCGCAAGGAGCCTGAAATATCACTCCATGCCCTTACGGGATGGTCGACGGCTAGAACCATGTGTGTCACGGCCAAGGTAGGATCCCACGAACTGATTGTTCTTATCGATAGTGGATCCACCCATAACTTCATCAACGACCGAATAGCAGAACTGCTGCACTTACCGGTCGTGCCTACCGAGCCCTTCAATGTCAAAGTAGCCCATGGCAAACCCCTTAAGTGCCGAGGAAGATTTGAAAATGTGCAAGTCTTGCTACAAGGTATCCCGTTCACCTTAACACTTTATTCTTTACCACTGATTGGGTTGGACATGGTACTAGGAATCCATTGGCTCGAGCAATTGGGCACAGTGGCGTGTGATTGGAAGAAAATGACGATGGAGTTTTCTTGGGCCAATCAACACCGGCTGTTAAAGGGGGTCGACAACCAACCGATTCAGCCTACATCCTTCAAAGCATTCTCAAAGGGGATTAAGCAGGGACATTCGCTATTTACCGTCTGTCTCCAAGCAGTCACGGAAGAAGTACCACCACAACTACACCCAAATATGCAGCAATTACTGGCCGAATTCAAAGATCTCTACCAAGAGCCCACACAGCTGCCACCACGGAGAGAGATCGACCACCGCATCAATCTCAAAGAAGGAACGGAACCCGTCAATGTCCGCCCGTACGGGTATGCCTATTTCCAAAAAGCTGAAATAGAAAAACAAATACAAGACATGTTACGGTTGGGGCTAATACGATCTAGCACAAGTCCCTTTTCTTCCCCTGTCTTGCTAGTTAAAAAAAAGGATGGGACTTGGCGTTTCTGTACCGATTACCGGGCACTCAATGCCGTGACCGTTAAGGATCGATTTCCTATTCCAACGGTTGACGATATGCTAGATGAACTACATGGAGCCTCCTTTACTAAACTTGATTTGCAATCCGGATACCATCAGATACGGATCCACCCATGGGACATTCATAAAACGGCATTTCGCACACACAATGGTCACTATGAATACTTGGTTATGCCCTTTGGCCTGTGTAATGCACCTTCCACCTTTCAAGCTATTATGAATTTTGTCTTCCGCCTCTATCTCCGAAAGTTTGTGCTAGTTTTCTTTGATGATATTCTTATTTATAGTCCCAACTGGAGCATGCATCTTGAACATGTTAGAACAGCTTTTGAGGTTTTAAGGCATCACCAATTTTTTATCAAGTTTAGTAAATGTATATTCGGCCAGCCAGAGGTGGAGTATCTGGGTCACATTGTCACTTCCCAAGGGGTCAAGGTAGACCAAGGGAAAATTGAGGCTATGCTTAAATGGCCTCAACCCACTCATATTACTGACTTGTGCGGCTTCTTAGGCCTTACAGGATATTACAGAAAGTTCGTCCACAACTATGGGATCATAGCTCGACCCCTCACTAATCTTCTCAAAAAGGGTGAATTTCGCTAGACCACCGAAGCCCAAGAGGCATTTACAGCCTTAAAGAAAGCAATGACCACGACCCCCACACTGGCAATGCCTAAATTTGAGGAGCCGTTTATCATTGAGTCGGATGCGTCCAGGGCAGGTATTGGAGCAGTATTGACGCAACAAGGACGACCCATAGCATTCATGAGCCGAGCTCTAGGCGTCAACAAACAAACTTGGTCCACCTATGCCAAAGAGATGCTTGCCATTGTTCAGGCAATACGGACATGGCGACCTTACTTGTTGGGCCGAAAATTCTACGTCCAGACCGATCAGCACAGCCTCAAGTATCTCTTGGAGCAACGCATTGGAACACCAGAACAACAGAAATGGGTGTCCAAACTGCTCGGGTACGACTATGAGATCATTTACAAGCCTGGATGGGAAAACTCTACTGCAGATGCTCTATCTAGAGTACTAGGCAGTCCTAGCCTTAATACTCTCTATATTCCTCAAGCATCTCTGTGGGACACCATCAAGAAAGAAGCCAGCACTCACCCCTACATGATCCGCATCGGCAAGCTTGCAACGGAGAGTCCTGGAGTTCCCTACACATGGAAGAATGGACTGGTATGTTACAAAAACCGGGTCGTGATCCCTCCTCGGTCCCACCTCGTCCCTACCCTCCTACAAGAATTTCATGACTCCCCATATGGTGGACACTCGGGGGTACTAAGAACATACAAGCGTATGGCACAGCAGTTCTATTGGCCCTCCATGTATAAAGATATTCAGCAATATGTAGCCTATTGCGTCATTTGTCAAAAAAAAAGGCGGACACTTTATCCCCGGCAGGACTGCTACAGCCATTACCCATTCCCTGCCAAGTATGGGACGACATTACCATGGACTTTATAGAAGGTCTACCACCCTCCAAGGGCAAAACCACTATTTTTGTGGTAGTAGACCATCTCACTAAATCAGCTCATTTCTTGACCTTACCACACCCCTATACGGCGAAATCAATAGCCAAAAGGTTTGTAGAAGGAATTGTGAAGCTCCACGGTATGCCAAAGATGATCTTTAGTGACAGAGATCCTATCTTCTTCAGCCACTTTTGGCGGGAATTCTTCAAGATGTCCGGTACCAAATTGCAGATGAGCTCCGCCTATCACCCCCAGACTGATGGGCAGTCCAAAGTGGTCAATCGTTGTCTAGAGCAGTATCTTCGTTGYTTTGTTTTCCARCAACCTCGRAAGTGGAGCTCCTTCCTCCCATGGGCAGAATTTTGGTATAACACCACCTACCATTCCTCTATCGGAATGACGCCCTTTCAAGCCCTTTATGGAAGACCACCACCTCGTATTCCAAATTACCAAGGCGGAACATCCCCGGTAGAAGAGGTAGATCAAGCCATGCTCTCTCGAGATGCCATTTTGCAGCAACTCAAAATAAACCTACATGCAGCAATTAACCGCATGACCCAAATGGCTAACTCCAAAAGAAGAGATGTGGAATTCCAGGTGGGCGATCTGGTCTTTCTCAAACTCCACCCGTACCGACAGCAGACTGTTCATAGGCGAGCCTATCACAAGCTGGCCAGTCGCTATTATGGGCCATACCAAATTGAAGAACGAATCGGCAAGGTTGCCTATAAACTTCGACTTCCCGAGGGCTCGCGCATCCACCCAGTTTTTCACATTTCCCTACTCAAAAGGCAGGTGGGCAAAACCACTGCCACTAGCATCGAGTTACCACCCATAAACGAGGGAGAACTTGTCACAGAACCAGCAGCCATTCTGGACACCCGTTGGGTGAAGAAAGAATCCACCTTCGTGGAAAAAAGCCTCGTCCAATGGAAGAACCTTCCCAACGAAGATGCCACATGGGAGAATTCTCAAGAGTTGTGCAAGAAGTACATAAATCTGGACCTTGAGGACAAGGTCCATCTGCAAGATGGGGGCAATGATGGGCCGCGAAGGTCGAACAGGGTTCCTACGCGCAACCCAAAGTACGTGGACTAAAAAACCTTCATGCATGGCCCATGCAATCCAGCCCATCATGCATGGCCCATGCAACGGCCCAGTAGAGCAGGAATCGGTCAAGGAGGTCAGGGTGCTAGCCACAAAAATCGGTCAAGAAGTTAGGTTGTTAAGTTGTTGATTGTTAGTTTGTCTTGGCATGAGAATCGGCCAAATAAGTTAGTTTGTTATTCTTGTTAAGTTGTTAGTATGAGATGGCATAGGGATCGGCCATGTAGTTAGAAGGCTAATCCCTTACTTTGAGGCTATCTCAGTGATAGGTAGTTAGAACTTTTTGTATTTAAACACCACCCCACCACATGGATGGGGCAGTTGGAAGTTAATAAAATCTTGTGGTCTTATTCTCACCCTAAGCAGAATACTCTATCACTCTAGCTTTGACTGGGACCTATCAGGGTGTAATTCCTTCCAACCTATCAACCTTCTCTGGGCCTCTCTCAAAATATGATGACCTTTAGTTTTTTAGTAGAAAACAAAGGGAAAAGGTCCCCTACCATCCCTCTAATGCTCTGTTGCAAAAGAGGCCTCTTGCCACTAAAAACCCAGTTCTCAACCATGTCATACTCAGTCTACCTCATTAGATCTACCAATTAAAAATCCCTTCAAGAAACTTTGTTCATTTTTTGGTAGTATGAAGAAACTTTTTTCATCATGGGCACCAATTTTTAACTTTAAGATAATACCATCATTACAGATTATAGAGCAACAATTACCAAAAACGTTCAAGATTAGAATACCTACATTAGGAGGGATGGGTTCTTGAGATGTGTTCTGATATCCTTGAGATGGAGGTATAATGACTCGACGAATACCTCCTACTTTCATTGATCTCACAGCCGTTTCAATCCCAGAGATGACCTACATTAACCAACTTCAATTATATAAATGAAGATTTCTCAGTTCAATTGCCTATCCAACAAATAAAATAATGTAATCAACAAATTCTTTCCACAACACATTGTGACTGGCAAGACATATTCCACTATACTAGTCCTCTCCAGCGAATAAGATAAGACCAGTCCAATTATCATCATCTAAAGGATAACAGTACCACAGGAACTTCTGAAAGAGAAAAAAAAAAGAGAAGGAAAAAAGGTACATGTGAAAGAAGATAAGAGGTAGTGGAAGAAGAAGAGAAAAGAGAAAGGAAGGAAGCACATGTGGGTTTGAGGAAGGCCTAAAAATTTGGGCAGTTATCCCATTCATTTATAATGTAACAATACAATTACAAAATTTCCCTTCTCAAGAATAAATAAGAGAAATAGATAAAACACCACACAGTTCAACAGTTCATGTTGTACTAAGGTGGATCCTAAAGCTATCAAGTTGTTGTTGGAGAATTCCTCCACCCAAAAAGGGTATAAATGTTTGCATCATATTTCTAGAAAACATTTGGTCACTATGGATGTCACTTTTTTTTAATCCATTCCATTTTTTACAATGTATTTGTTCAGGGGAAGAGTTGTAAAGAAGAGAGACCCTTCCCATTCTACCTTACCGTTCCAATGTCAAAGTTAAGTCCTATCCTATCTTCTCATGGAGAGTTGTCTAAAGTGTTGTAGGTTTAAACTAGATACTCTAACAAAAGGGAAGGCCATGATGTAATCTCCTAATTAGTTGGACCCACAAGAACCAAATCCAAGTAACCTACAAAGTACTATTCCTTCTAATCCTATCATCAGTTTACCTTCTGATCATTCTTATTTGGATCCCTCCCATTGCTCACCAAAAGGGAATTAGATATTGTATTATCCACCCTATTTTTTCTCAATAACAGAATTTCATTAGACTAATAAGAAATAATTACAGGATTGGGAGAGGTAAACTGCCTTACCTCTCCACAACAAAAAATGCAATTACAATTGAGCCAAAAACAATTGATTCCTTCCTGCCCCTTGTTTTGTTAAAGAAGCAGCAAAAGCATTTCCTGTCCTTTTAATCAAGCTGAATTGCACATCTATATCTTTGGTCAGCCACTTAAATATCTATTTCTCATTGTTGAAAATCCAGAAACCCTTTTCTTCCTTTTGCAGCCACTTCACTACTAACTTTGAATCACCTTCAATAACCAACTTCCTTACATTCAATTCCTTTGCCTTTTGCAATCCTTCCATGCCAACCATAACCTCAACCCTTAGTGAGTCGCCTGCTCCAATTGGGCCTGACTATAATCCAATAACTCTGCTTCACTATCTTTAAAAACCCCTCCAATACCAGAAGGACCCGGGTTTCCAGCACTACGTTAATCATTAGAGGAGACCAAACAGGGCTGACATTGGACTTATGACAAGCAGAACTGGCCACTTCCATTTGTTCAAAATATCACCTATTGAGAAGTTGGCAAACACATCCATAGATTTTACCCAATGAACCACTCTCACCATAATGGTTTCTATGATACCTTCTCTACTTCTTTCCTTGCCTGAAAACAGTCTTGCATTTCTTTCTTCCCATATAGTCCAGATCACAACCGCCCTAACACATCTCCATAAAACTTGTCCCCTTTTCTTTGGCCACCTCAAGAAAGAGGAATCAAACAAGCTTTGCACATTGGTCAAAGGAGACCACCTACACCCAAACAACGAGAAAAACCATTCCCAAATAAAAGTAACGAAAAGGCAGGAGATTAATAAGTGAGATAAAGTTTCTCCATTATTCTTACACATAGCACACCAGTGTAGAGATAAACACCAATTTGTTATTTTCCTTCAGAGTAAACCATAGATATTAATTCTTTCCAGGAAGACTTCCCAACAAAAGCCCTTGACTCTTAGAGGGATAGGATTACCCTAGACCTCATACACCGGAAATGGAATTCACAAAGAATCAAAAGGTTGAATAAGGGCCTTAAAAAGAGAAGTACAGGAAAAGGAACCATAGGAGGATAGGGTCCAAATACAACTGTCAGGTTTCGAGGATTCCGAGTATACCCCATCAAGAATATGAAGCAAATCCAGAACTTCATTAAGTTTTGAATCCCTCACAAACCTCCTTAAACCCCAATCCCAATCAAATCTAGTTCTTGAGCTTGAAGGAACCAGGAAAGAGGACACAAGTTTATCTTTATATCGCGATAGGGAAAAGGCATGGGGGAATTTATCTTTCAAAGAGAGATTATCCACCCAAACCTGTTTCTAAAATTTTATAAGGTTACCAAAACAAAGGTTGTACCTGGCAAAGGGAAGGAAGGATGGGAGGGCAGCATTAATGGCCTTCCAAGGAGAGGCTCTGGTAGCCCCAGTCAATATTCCAACATCCCAACCGTTAGTTGCAAGCCCATGAATACCAATCACTATCTTATCCCAAAGCTTGTCCTTCTCCACAGGAAGTCACTATAGCCACTTTCCCAGCAAAGCCACATTCCTTTTAAGTAAATTGCCTAGGCCTAACCCACCAAACTTCTTGCTCCTACTCACCATTTCCCAACTAACTCTATGGTCCCTTTTCCCCTCCCCTGGCTCTCACAAAAATTTCCTCATCAACTTTTCCACTTTTCTACTCACATTCACCGGCATCTTAAAAACAAACATCAAATACACCGGCAAATTGGCCAAAGTAGCTCTTATCAATGTGATCCTTCCTCCTTAAGGACAAATAGCTTTTCTTCCAAGATGTGAGTCTTTGGACAAATCTTTCAACTACAAGATCCCAAAAGTTGCTCTTTTTTTGAGTTATCTCCCAATGGAAGCCCTAAATACTTCAGTGGCCATTGTGAGTTGTGACACCTCACAACCCAAAATGTTTGCATACTCCAACATCTCCTCTTCTTTCATATTAACACCCACAATACAACTGTTGTCAAAATTCACCTTAAGGTTGGAAATTAGCTCAAAAAGTTCTTCTCTTAACTTGAGATTCCTAACCCAGTTTCTATTTCCTCCACAAAAAAGCAAAGCATCATCTACAAATTGTAAGTGACTAGTTGAACACTGCCATGGCCTACTTTCCAACCCTTAAACAACTCTTGCGAGTCTACTCTAGTAATAAGCATACCAAGTACCTCAACCATCATAATGAATAGAAAAGGGGGATAAGGGGTCTCCTTTCCTGATTCCTCTCAAAGCCAAGAAAAAGTCCACCATAGTTCCATTCAATAGCAAGGAGTAATGACAGGTCTTAATACACCCCTTTATCCATTTACACCATCTTTCCCCAAATCCAAAACACCTCAAGACTTCCAAGAAAAAGGTCCAATCCACCAAATCATAGGCTTTCTCTAAATCCAATTTGTAAATGAAGCCTTCTTTTCAACTCTTTTGAAGTCCTTAACACATCCATTAGCAATGAGGATTTGGTTAGTGATTTTCCTACCCCTTACAAAGCACCTTGATTTGGAGAGAAAATGAAAGGGTGAACAACCCTAATCCTCAAAGATATGACCTTAGCTATAATTTCATATAGACTATTCACCAAGCTAATGGAACTAAACTGACGAGGATGTGATTGCATCACTTTTTCTTAGGCACCAAAGCAATGAAAGTCAAGTTAAGGCCAAGATCAGTTACTCCCCTTTCATAAATTTCCTCAAACATTCCCATTAAATCATCTTTCAAAATGTCCCAACAATCTTGGTAAAAGGCCATTGTGAAACCATCCAACCCTAGTGCTTTTCATCTATCCATTGAGAAAATAGCCTCCCTAATTTCCTCCTGCTCAAATCTCCACTCCAACCAGTTTTCTACTTCACTCAAGATCCTCAACCAATCAAGCCCTTCAAGCCACACTCTTTCCTTCAAAGATCTTCTTTATATTGTTCTAAAATGTTCTTTAAAAGCCTCGGATATCTCACTCTGATGTGTCATAGAGACCCCATCAACCACTAACCTTAAGATAAGACTCCTCTTATTCTTCCAATAGTCGTTGCATGAAGAATTTAGTATTCCTATCACCCTCCTTGATCCACTTATAACTAGACTCCTGTCTCCAACTTATTTCCTCCTTATGAAGAACATCTACCAATTTCTTCCTTAGGAACCACTTAGTTTCCTTATCTCCGTCCTCAAAAGTACCCCTCTCCTCCTTTTTATACAAATCCTCAATTTGATTGACCAATGATTGCTTCCTCTCTTCAATCCTCCTAAACTCCAAAATGTTCCAATCCTTGATCCTAGACTTTGAAGTCTTGCAACTTCCTGCGAAATCTCATCCCTTTCCAATCGACTCTTGGGTTGCTCTCCCCCCACCACTCTTAATCTTTTTAATAAATCCTGGATGACACAACCAAATGTTCTTGAAACAAAAGGGAGCTGGTTATGTGTCTTATTCATCTTCATCTCCTTTCTGTTGTGCCTTTTATTCCATATCTCTTGTGACTATTCTACATAGTATTGTGGAGGCTTTTTGTAGACATAAATGGAAGGCCAGAATGACTAGAGATGAATGCTTTAATTGGTGGAGATTCTAAACGACAAAAAAAATGAGAGGTAAGTTGGTATTTACTATCAAACAAAAAGTTGATACGGAAGTAGCTTAGGTAACCTAGACACTTCAGGAATAGGAGTGTTCAGGGACCAAGAGCACAATCTAATTGTTTTCTTTTCAGGCCCAATTAGTGTAGGAGGTTCCATAAGGGCTGAGATTATGGCAGCACTGGAAGGAATACAAACTACAAAGGGCAAGAAATATGAACATTAAAAAACTAATTATTGAAGGAGATTCCAAATTGGTGGTGGGGTGGCTACAAAGTGAGGAGGCAATGTTACGGAGGTATAACAAAGAAATTCAAATAGTTGATTCATAACATGGAAGTGCGAATACAATGGGTTCAAAGAGTGCAAAATCCTTTGATGATGTTCTTGCTAAACAAGGGGTGGGGAGAGATCAGCTGTTTTGGGCAGTTTTGTAAAAATAAGAGTATTTTGGGGAGAGATAAGAGGATTTATCTCTCACTATTTGTATACTCTCTTTGTACTCACTATTTTTTTTCCATCTATTAAAGAAATGTTATTTTTGCCTATCAGAAAAAAGTTGATGGTTCAATTCACAGATATATGGCAAGGCTAGTGGTGAAAGGTTACACTTAGAACTATGGCATAGAAAATACAAAAACCTTTGCACTAGTTGCAAAGATAAAGAATATATAGAGTTTGCTCTATATTACTGCCAATTATTCATAGCCTCTATATCAAATGAACATAAAGACTGCCTGTCTCCATAGAGATCTGTAGGAGGAAGAGTGCGTGTTACTATCACCTAGTTAAATCATGGGCCCTCAAACCATTTCTAATTAATTCACTCCATGTCTTTTGGCTTGTCCCTGGTTCTTTTAAACCCTCAAAAGTTGCAAAAAATCACTTCTTCATACTGGTGTTATAAGCGATCTCCTCTGCATACAATCAAACCATCTTATTTTACTTTCCCTCATTACCTATTGGGGCTACTTCTAAATTCCTATAAATATGTTCATTTCTGATCCTATCATTTCTAACTTTACCATTCATCTGTCAACATTCATTTCTTGCAATACTAACTCTGCATGTTTTGATTTTATCTTACGCTTCCAGTCCCAGGCCTATGTTCATTTCTGATCCTATCATTTCTAACTTTACCATTCATCTGTCAACATTCATTTCTTGCAATACTAACTCTGCATGTTTTGATTTTATCTTACGCTTCCAGTCCCAGGCCTGAATTAGGAGGATGGTTATGTTAAGTTGGAAACTGACACTAAAATATTTGCCAAATCTTATGAACATAGATCCTGAATTGGCAATTTCTCCAAGTAAAAAGAAATATGCTTTGAAAAAATAATCAAATTGATAGAAAATATGAAATGGGTTTTACCTGAAAAAGAAAAAAAAATAGCATGTAAATCTTCAAAGTGTATTAGTTACTGACAGTTAGGAACAACATTGGGAAATAGCCATTTATTAGTCACTCCTAGTATACTAAATATCATTGAATTGGTGACTAATAAGCAAATAACCAACAATTGGTGTGTGAATAGTACCTCAAGATCTTTGTTGAAATTCTTTTCTCCTGTTAAAAAAATAAAGCACAAGAGTAAAGTTGAAAGAAAGCTACTTTGGATTTGGCATGACAAAACAGAGGAATAAATTTTCAATCATGTTAAGTGACCAATTAGTGCAGTTAAAAGAAGACAAATGGAGAGACAATAGGTTCAGTGGAACACTCTAAATTAGAACTGGACTTCACAAGCATACATGGAAAAGTTTTGAAGAGATTTTTATCAATAAAAAGTTGTGGAAATAATTGATTTTATTTTGTTAGGGTCTGTTTGGATGATTAAAGCTTTTTTGTTTTAATCTGTTGTTGTAACTTTATTTAGTAGGGGCACAAGGGTCATTTCCCTTCTTGTTTTTTTCGCCCTATATATTATAATGAAGCTGGCGCCACCAGCACTGTTCCATTGCCTCTAATCCTTCTCCTTTCTTCCTTCTCTTCTCTTCTCTTCTCTTCTCCTCTTCTCTTCTCTCCTCTTCTGCTGTAATCTTCAATTGGATTTACTGTCAAGAAAAGTTGTGAAAATAGGAGGGATTGGTTTATGGTATTTTCCTATCAATTTCCTTTGTAATTAAAATTAATAATTATAATTTCTCTTTCCCTAACCTTGAAACAGAATAGAACATGGGGCTAAGGAGAAAAGTAGATCAGTATCACCATCATCTAAGCCTTGTCCCAACTATACATGAATCCCATTTACCTTTCCGTTATGTTTAAAGCCATATATATTGTTAAATTATGATCACTTAAATCATTTCTTACTACTTCAACCCATGTCCTTTTTGGTCTGCCCCAAGCCCTTCTAGCCCCTTCAACTTGCAATAGGTCACTTCTTTTTACAGGTGATGTAGATGGTCTTCTTCTATGCACATGACAAAACCATCTTAGCCAACTTTTATGGTTATGGATCCTAAATTGTCTAAGGAGAAAAGTTGAAAACAATAAAAAATAATAAACTTAAAGGAAGAAAACAAAAGAATAAAAAAAAAATTGAAGCATAAACAAGTTTAAACTGTTTGAATGGATATGGTTAATTTTAAGGCAAGTCTTGTTATTCAAAGATATATATTCTTAGCATATTGATTTACATAGTTACATGATCATACCTAGAAAATTTTTTATGCTCACACAAACAAAACAAGAATGTTCTACCAAAAAAACACAACAAGAATGGTAATTCCATTACCAACAAAACAAATGAAAACCACAACTTACTTTGCCAGAGCCAAGGACAAATACAAAGGGAACTGGCTCACCCATTTCGTCTTTGTGATCATATGTTGAATCAAAACGCCATCCTTGTTTTGCAGCTAACCTTCCATAATAATGAATTGCAACCTTTACAGGTAAGAGACAAATAGAATCCATGTTAACATCGTAACTAACAAACAAGACCACTTTGCTTTAACAATAAATTTCTATAAGATTGTAATACCATATTTTCCTACTTCCTACAACCCAGAGTTGTGTATCTTCTTATTTAAACATCTTTTTTCGGTTTTATATATCAATAAGAGATCAAACACTCAACATTGTAGGATTTATTGTTTTTGAGAATTGAGACATACACACTTTTAATACACTAATTTCAATAACCAACTAAATAATTGACTAACATGACAACCAGTAAATGTGGTCATTAACACATTGGAAAAATTAATGAAACTAGTGATGCAATTATAGTAGTTCTAATTTATACACAAGAGATAGAGAGAGATAAGAAGGATAGCTCATCATGGTATTTACCCATTAGTCATTCTTTGTTGTTGCACCTTTTATTTATATTCCTAGAAATATAGCAGAAACTACATGGCAGACAGAGTGGAGAAGGCAAAGTAGGTTGAAATGAATGCTCTTTAGAAGGAGCATCACCTAGGTGATGCCTAGGCAGATGCCAACCCACCTTAGAGATCAAGCAACAAAACTCCCTTGTCACCTTTTCTTGCCCTAGCCCCCCCCCNACAACTATGTGGACAAGAGAAGGGTTATTGCTACAATATTGACAGGTGATTTAGTCCCAAGCACCACTGCCAAGTGGAACAGTTCTTCGTTGAAATGGAACTAGAGAAAAGAATTGGTAGAAGAGGACCTAACAGAAATATCAATGGGCAATACTATTGGATCAATGGATCCTAAAACTGTGATAATATATTTTGACAAAAGAAAGAAAAGAAAACAAGTAGTCACAATTTTGCTAGGCCCTATGATATCATAGATAACTTTTTTCAGAAGAAGGTAACTTTCGTTAACATGATGCATAAGAAATACACCTTTAAGAGTATTCTTTGGTCTTCGTTCAAGTCAGGTTTGCTGAGCCTTTATGTCTGTAAGATGTGTGGATTTTTTGTTTTGTTGAGGGGATCTTGTTGTCTGATTGTTGGGTCCATTGGTTGTGTTTCTCTTTCGGGTGATATCTAATCACTTTTCTGTTGTATTTCTTTTCCTTTTTAGTGAAAATTTTCTTTATTCTTCGAAAAACGATATGGAATTCCTGTAATTTCTATATATGTTCTCTTGACTAAAATGATCAGCTATGATGAGCCTCAATCCAACTCACAAAAGGTGTTGGGGTCTTGGGCATGTTAATATGGTTTCCTATTGGTAATTTCACTAATTTTATTTCAGGCAGCAGGTTGACAAACATAAGACCATATCACTCTTCCGAACAAAAGGTGAAATCAAATAAGCCAACCAAAAGCTATTGCAATAACAAATTAATTGTCAAGTTCCATTGCTACTCTTTACCAGTGATCCTAGTAGAAAAGTAAGGAATCCATCACCAGATGTGCACAAGTAAGGATTCCATACTGATCCTAAATGAATCATGTGACAAACTTCATGCAGCTTCTAGATGTAATGGTCTACCATAAAATCACCATCAAGCATTTTTTTAACTGATTAGAGTCATAATAATGTCCTAGTAATGCTTCTTGTTTTTTATCAATAACAGAAGAATTTCATTAGTTATGGAAACAAGTACAAAGGAACACCATGGGGAGAGATAAGCTCTCTTAATTGACTCCGAGATGACCATCGAAATTACAAATTTCAACACATCCCAAAAAAGCCGATCCCTTCCCACCCCTTGCTTAGCAAAAGAATTTGCACTTCTTTTTACCCATTACAGCTTAACTTCCATATTTTTCATAATACACTTAAACTTTCTTTTATCATTAGAAAAATTCCACCAACCAATCCTCTTTTTGTAGCCATCATACTACTAACTTTGAGTCCCTTATATGATCAATCTACTGATGCTCAGCTCCTTAGCCTTTTGAATTCCTTCCATTACAGCCATGATTTCAGCCCTCAATGAATCACCCATGCCTATTGGGCCCAGGTAGAAAGCAATACTTCTTTCCTCCTCATTCCGGAACACTTCTCCAATGCCTGAAGGGCCTGGATTCCCTTCACTGCTACCATCAAAGTTCAACTTGATAAACTCACAAGGGGGTGGGAGCCAAGTTGCATAATGACAGCTTTTGAAAGAGAGGAATCATCTACCTCTTTCCACTTTCTAAACAAGTCATCATTAGAAACCCCTTCAAAGCTTCTCAAAGTCTTTACCCATTGGATCACTCTTATGGTAATGGTCTCAATTACTGCTTCACTACTCCTTTCCTTCTCTGAGAAGACTCTTTGGTTTCTTTCTTCCCATAATGCTTCTTAGTTTGACAAATGCACCTTTAATTTTCTACATCTTCAAAGTTCAAATACAAAAAGTTTGGACTCTGGACCATGTCAATCTTCTTATTTTGATGAGTAATGAGTTGTTGATCTATAGTTAATGGACCATTATTAAGCTTGTTGAATTGCATGTCCCAAGCCTGGATTGTTGAGACAGTGGATCGTAGTGTTTGTTCTATTATTGGGCCATGGGCCCCACTCTTTTATTATTTATCCATTGCTGCTAATACCTTACTTATTAAGGGTATATTTGTAATTGTACTTTTATTTTAAAAAGAGGCAATATAACACAGTGGGACAGAACACTGCTACCCTCAAATTCATCTCTCTCAAAATTGTTTTCCTTCTTTCTACTTATTCTCTTTTCTTCTCTGTTTAGGTCCGATTTCTTCACTTTTTCTTCTTTGATGCATCACCAAATAAAGAACAATATTACTGATTCGATCTCTAAGTTGGTATCAGAGTAGGTTTTATGTATAACATTGCATGATATCTCATATGTCATGACTATGATTAGCAAGTTTATGTGTGCACCCAGAGATACTCGCTTGGCAGCTGTAAGAGGATTTTATGCCCTAAAAGATTAACCAGGGAAAGGAGTCTTATGTTCCATTCATGGACACGAGGAATGAGGCATTTATTTGTTTTGATTGGGCAGGCTCTATCAATGATAGGATGTCAACCTTTCGCTACCATACTCTTGTTAGAGGTAGTCCAGTGCTTGTAGGAGTCTGTAGACTTATGATGCTAGGTGAGCTGACTTTGATAGACTTATGATGATGTATAGTGATAATCATGTGGCCATTAACACTGGTCATGAACCTATTCAACATGATAGGACAAAACATATTGAGGTTGACAAACATTTCATATGAGATGATTGTTTCTAAAGAAGTTTGTCTTCCTTTTATTGCCTCAACAGAGCAACTTGCAGATGTACTTACCAAATGTGTTCTGAAGTCTAAGTTGCAACACTATGTAAGTAAGATGGTCATGATTCACATGTATGCTCAGCTTGAGGGGGAGTGTTGAGATCACGGGCTGTGGTGTTTGTTTTATTATTGGGCCATGGGCCTCACCCTTTTATTTTATTTACTCATTGCTTCTTCCACCCTTACTTATTAAGGGTGCATTTGTAATTGTATTTTTATTTAAAAAAATGCAACATAACATAGTAAGACAGTACATTACTGCCCATGGATTCATCTCTCTCAAAACTGTTTTCTTCTTCCTTTTACTTCTCTGTTCAGATTTGATTTGTTCATTTTTTCTTCTCTGAACCATCACCAAATAAATAAAAGTATTACTGATCTGATCTTCAAGTTGAATAAAGGAAGGTCACATCAAGCTAGAAACATAAATTGTTTGTCAAATCTTTATAAACATGAATCGTGAATTAGTATTGCATGGACTCCCCTAAAGAGATGAAGGTCCATTTCAGACATGTAAATTGCAAGTTGCAACACTCCTAAGGATTCTTGAGGGACACTTGTACATAACATTTTCCTTTTTTTTCTCCTAATTTACTTCACCAAATAAATAAAAGTATTGATCTGATCTTCAAGTTGAATAAAGGTAGGTCACATCAAGCTAGAAACATAAATTGTTTGTCAAATCTTTATAAACATGAATCATGAATTAGTATTGCATGGACTCCCCTAAACAGATGAAGGTCCATTTCAGACATGTAAATTGCAAGTTGCAACACTCCTAAGGATTCTTGAGGGACACTTATACATAACATTTTCCTTTTTTTCTCCTAATTTACTTGACATAAATAAAAGCTATTTACAATTAATGTAATTTTTACAATAAAATGTTACTTGCAACAAATACAAAATTCTAGACCTTTTTATAAGTATATATTGTTAGAACTTAAATATATATATCTATATGAACTCTTTCATAGTATATACTTCTAAAGATGTCCTTGAGCCTATGTTCTTTCCTCTAAAGTAATTAAACTCTTTGACATGCTAATGGATTTTGATTCTCATTTTCGTGTCCATGCAATACCAACCTGAATTGTTATTTCAAGATTGTGTTGTTAAAGCAAAGCCCTCAGACTAGAGGGTTTCATCAAACATGTGGTCATCTCTCCTTTCAGATAAAAATTATATGTTCAAAGAACAATTTTATTAGACATGTATTATGGGATTCTGGGAATTTTTTCAGTTCCTTAATGAATGAATTTTAACTGTTACTTATCCAAAAAAAAATTAGATATGTAGTTACCTCCACTCTCAAAAGGTATTCACTTCAAAATTCAAATAGTGTGAGACCCATCTGTTTTCTTTTTTTTTTTTTTTTGATGAATGATGTCAGACCCATCTTTCTTAATAAACTTTATGAAAGCACAAATTCAAATGTTGTGGGACCCAACTAATTGAAATATCACTTAAGTTGAACTTTCTTTTAACATTTATTTTCTTAACACAGTTTCCTACCTCAAATAATAAAACACCCAATACCAAGGCTTTCAGTTTTAAATATTGAAAAAAAAAAAAAGACAAAGGCTTTCAGTACCTGATGTGGGTCCCATTCTTCTAGATAAAGTGGGTTACTATTTAGAAATAAAACCTCATTTAATCGCTTACATCAAATAAAAAAAACTAAACAAAATTTACCATATGGATAATGGGTTCCAAATAATATATGTGAAATAGTGACATTGTAGTGCCCATATTAAGTGCAGGGTTGTCATTATCTAGTCTAGTAAGTAGTAACAAAAGAAGATAAAGCCCTTGGTCGAGTAGACTAATGGTTGAGAAAGGCTAGGGTCAAATTTGATTGATCCATAGCTGTTGCTTGAAATATCATGGATAATTCATGGACTGTCATTGCTACTACAAAGTCATTATCTGTTGGTTGAAAGCTCAAAGTGCAAATTAAGAAGCACCCATCTGTTTATCACACCAAACTACCTCAAAATCGTTGCATATATTCTAAAAAAATAATTGGGGAGTGGTGCAGGGGGAGATAATTTCCAACAAGAATAGGCCCCATTGGCTTCTCTTAAGAGTTAAGACCTTTTCCATCCAGCTTTTATTGAAACCTATTGATGGCTTTCAAGGTTGATGCAAAAAAATTGTTACTCACAGCTCTTTTCAATGACCCACGTCATATACACAACTTCTAGGTCTAGCAGAAGTCTGTAAGCCATCCAGAATTGAATGTGAGGCCTCAGGCTCTCTGCTCAGAGTCCTCATATTGTAATAGCTTTTACACAAAAAATCCATTGTAGAATCATTTCAAAATGCTCTAAGAAAATCGAATGTCTTTTCACTTCAAAGGGCTCTAAAGAAACTGAAATAATTGTTTAAGGAACTTTTTAAGGGGCTGGCATTCCAGTAGCCACAAACCAGTCATCTTCCATTTATTTTCCTAATCTCCACTTTTCTTAAATTCAATATTTGTGGTCGTCAAAGAGTTCTCGTTAATGGTCAGAAGAAAAATCGCAGAAAGAAAATAATAACTTACAATTTTTGTAGCCATATAAACATTATCTGGAAAAGGCGTAAATAACATAAACAAACAATTGCCGAACCTTCAAGTTCGAAGAACATAGCAAAGAATTTTGTTCAGACATTCCATCACGGTGAAAGAAGATAAACAAAAAGAAAAAGAACTTACCTGATCACCATTAACAGGGACCTCTCCGTCACCTACGCGAAGATCCAGAGCTTTCACTCCGCCAGAACCTTCGAGCTCGAAGAATTCAGAAATGGAAGCAGCAGCAGCAACAGCAGAAGCTTTGCAGGAGTAATCAGAAATGACGAAGATAAATGAAGTAAATGTTGCAGACAGAGTGTTCAGTGAGAAATCCCTTCTTGTCAACAACAGTGAAGAAGAAGAAGAAGAAGCTGTTCGGGGGGGTAATTTAGGCGGAAAAAGACAGTTCGTTAAACGTGTAAGGACACGGAACGACGATACGTTGCAGCACACGACCATCCTTTAATTCTCTAATAATCTCATCTCAATTAAACGGCTACCTCTTTACAGAGACGAACCTCTAAAAAAATGATAGGAAAAATGACACGCCGTCTGTGGGAATCGAACCCACGACCACGTGGTTAAAAGCCACGCGCTCTACCGGCTGAGCTAAGACGGCATTTGATTCATATAGAGACGTAGTGATATTTATAATTTTACTCCTTTCTCGTTCTACGAATGATAAATGATCCTATTGAATTCACATCTGCACTCCAAAAACGCATCATAGCACATCAAAATCATCCCAACCGTATATCAGGAACATCTCCCAATGACAAGTACAGAAGATGTTCCTAATACACATTGAGACGTGCATGTGGGATATTTTTGGGGCATATTTTTTGAGGTGCAAATAAGGATGGCAACCCATACCCTACCCAAAACCCGAAGCGGGTTGAATTTTTAGAATTCAAACCCTACCCACACATGAAAATGCAAAACCCTCCTCGCATTTAAGGGTGGGTGGGTTGAGTTGGCTGGTCAGGTATAAAACCCGAATCTAATAAAATTAACAGCATTTAAATTTGTAAAAATTAGTAAAGTTATTAAATTTAATAAAAGTTTCTTGTTATATGTAAATCAATAAACAACCAAACTAACATAAACAAACATTAAAACTTTTAATAACTGAAATAATTTTCAATGAATAATACCATTTTAAATCATTCACAAAATTTTTTAATAACTGAACTGGTTTCCAATGAGTAGTATCATTCTAAACCATCCACATAACAACATCAAAATTTTCAATAACCAAAATGATTTCCAATGAGTAATACCATTCTAACTCATTTACAAAATTTTCAATAACTAAATGAGAGTCGTACTATTCTAAATCATCAACATCAAAGATATTGCCGTCATCATCAATAAAATCTTCCTCGTCCATATCGTCACAAATAGTGAGAGGATGATGTATTTCCTTGTGTGCACTTGAATTTGAAGTCAAAACTATACAAAATATAAAATGCATATTAGCATTTAGTAAATGTACAAAACATGTAACAAAATTAATATAACATATTTATAAAAATATTTTTGCACCGCTCTTTTCAGCAAATAACCAGTTTTGACAACATGTCAGTAACCCCCACAATACTTGGAAGGAGTCTACTACGTTGTGGATTCACCAACCTACCACCTGTACTGAAGGTAGACTCTAAAGCAACTGTGCTAACTGGAATAACATAAATCTCTCTAACAATATCTTGCAAAATTGGATATTTGGGACCATGTGATTTCCACCAAGCTAAAATATTAAAATCTGATATCCAACGCAACACATCCTCATCCAAATAATGATCCATTTCAGACTTAACATTTATCCTTTTTCTTTTGAGGTTAAGAATAAACAAGTTAAATTCATTCATCTTTTCTTACTCTTGGGTGATATGATGGTTTAATTGATGAGAAAATGTAGTTCTCTCGTCTTGCTCCTTAGAAAGCTTTCTTTGATAATACTCAACCAAATAATCATAACAAATTTTTACAATCCTCTGAACCTCCTCCTTAGTTCTACTTCCATACACCTTTTAATGGTAATATTGGAGGAGATAAGTCTTGTACCTTGGATCCAAAACATTAACAACACTAATAATGTCATGTATCATGTCCCAATACTTATTAAATTTCATAATCCTCTTTACTACCATAACTTGAATAATTGAACTTTCATCTAAACTCCACTCATTCAATGTCAATTTAATTTCACAAATATTTGGAAAATAAAGATTGACAGTTGCATAAAGTGTACTTGAAAACAACTTTGTGACATCGTAAAAGATTCTTAACTTCCCACAAATATTCTTTGCAATCTCCCACTCTGCATCACTAGGAGATAACATTTGTATGACTGCACAGTGTTCTTCAACTATTCAAAAACTTTTAGGTAGACTAATGTAGCCTCAAGCATCATGTATGTGGAATTCTATCATATCTTAATATCAAGAGACAACTTTTTGTAATTGCAACACATACTTGTTTAGCAGCATGCTCAAACATTTACATTCGTTTTGGTGTAGTTGTCCAATATATAACACTCTCCCCCACTTTTTCTATGGCATCTCCAATCACTTCCTATCCATCTTGCACAATCAAGTTTAAGATATGTGCACAACACCTCATATGAAAAAAATGAGTCATCCAATAAGAGAGAGCCATTAGAAAGTCTTCATATTATATTCTCTACCACTCCATTAGTAAAACAACTATCCAAAGTGAGTGTGCAAATTTTTTTTTATCAATTTTCCACTCAATAAAACAATTCATCAAGACTTTTATTTAAAAAAATAAAGTAAGCATGATTACCTTATGATGCGCTTTTGAAGGGTCCAAGAATCATCAATGTAGTGTCATGTGATAGCCATGTACCCCTTCTTTTGATGCTATGCAATCCACATATTGGTGGTAATAGATATTCTACTTTCATTTTCACCAAGATCTTTCATCAATTTTGTCATTTTTCTTTATACAACTTCATAATATCACTCCTTATTGTATTTCGGCAAGGGATTTTAAACAAGCTATTGCCTTGACACATCTTGGTCAAATGCATAAACTCCAACCCTCACTTTCCCATCTTATTTCATATTCCTAGTTAAAACCATTTGCTGAAGATTTGCTTGATTTCATTTACGACAATACTTCTTAATAAGATCTTTTAAGTTACTTGTCCCATGCTTGTTGTCAGCACTCAACACTAAGTGTCTTTATGACAATTATTACATATTGCCTTACATGAACCATTAACCTTTTCTTTCTTAAAATATTTCCACACTTCTGAAACCAATATTGGTTGCTTTGCTTCATCATTACTAGCAACCTCATTTACTAGTGTAGTTGAATAGTTGGAGCTTGATGTTGGATGTGTAGGATCATCACCCATTATTGATGATAAATTTTGAGAGTTGACCAAGGATGGAGAACCATCAACATATTATTTTTATCACATAATGACAACATAAGTTGGGTTTTTAGGTTATCTTTGGCGGACATGCTAGCCATGTTCCTAAAACTTCATTATAATGATTCGAGGTTTCATTATTTCAGGATCTTAATAAAGATAATAGAGGTTCTCTTATTCACTCTACCCCATATCAATAGAATGAGAACCAGAATAAACAATGAAAGATGAAAAAGCATCAATATTAATAGAAATATGGGCGTATGTGAAAACTAAAAGCTTCTTTGTTCTCTTCCTCCCTTTGATAAGAATGAGTTTTGACTAGCAAATAGAAAACTTGTCTTTGCATCAGTTTGTTACATTGCAAGAGACAGCAAAAGTGGAAAACGAATGGAGTTTAAGAGTGCTGCAATGTTTTTTTTTTTCTTTTTCTTGTTTGATCGAATGATTTAGTGAAATCGTGGAAGCCAAAAAAAAAATTCCGCTCAAGCCTAAGAGATCTTGTTTTTTCAAAAGATGACAAAAAGCTTGAAATATGGAAACTCCAAATTACCAATATAACAAAAAGTTGGGAAGGAGAGCCTATCATTAATCGTGATTGGATGAGAACCTCACACACAATAAAGACATTACTACATGCCTATTTGGTGCGTCTTTCCATGTGATATTTTGGCTGTTTACAAACCGGAAAGACCAATTTTCTATGTTTTTCCATTTGGCACGCATAAGATATAACGGCCAAAAGACGGAACGCCAAAAAGATGCAAGAAGTCCATTTTGGACTGATTTCGGGAAGCTCTAAATGAAGCTTCTCACGTCTTTCACGTTTTAATCTCGTGTGGAAAGACGTGCATCTGCCAAATGTGCTTCGGGCTGCTCAAATCTTCATGCAAAAGCTCAATGTGTCTTTTGCATGTCAGAGCTACCAGAAGATCTGACGTGGACTTCCATTCATTTCATTCATTTATTTAAAGTAACAAAAAGAAAAACAAATACTAATTATAAATTGGTAAAATTTAATATTCTGTAATTACTATTAATAATAAATTAGTATTTATTTAAGAATAAATTATCGTTTATTAATTTACTAAGAATAATAAATTAATAACCATATATTAATGTCAATTAAATACTTGAGAGGGTCAAGATCTTTTAAGTGAAATTGTGTATGTAAGTAATGCTTGATGGCTTGTAGAGTAGCGTCATCATTGCCTGTAGGAATTATGTCGTCAATGTAGACTAAAATTGTAGTAAATGAGGAGCCACAAGAGCACGCAAATAGTGAATAATCAGACCGGGATTGAAAAATCCATAAGAGAGTAATGCGGAAGAGAATTTGTCAAACCAATTATGGGAGGCTTGCTTCAAGCTGTAAAGAGATTTTAAGAGACGACAAACTTTGTGCTCCCCCTGTTTAGCAAACCCCGGTGGAATTTTCATGTAAACCTCATTATGGAGATCACCATAAAGAAAAACACTATTCACGTCTAATTGGAAAAGGGACCAACCCTTAATGGCAACAACAACAAGTAAACAACGGACAATAGTGAGCTTCACACCGGGAGCAAAGGTTTCAGTATAATCTAAGCCTTTAGTTTGGGTAAAACCTTTGGCAACAAGGTGGGCCTTGTGCCGCTCAATGGAGCCATCTAATTTGTATTTGTCTTAAAGACCCATTTATAGCTTACAGCCTGTTTCCCTGGTGGGAGATCAGTGGTAATGCATATACCATTATCCTCTATAGCCATTATTTCTATAGCCATGACATCCCGCCAACATGAGTCTTTGACAACAACAGAGAAGGATGTAGGGTTGGAGGAGGTAGAAATGGAGGAGAAGGCCTTATGGGATGAATTAATGTGATCGTAGGAAAGGTAATAGGTAATGGTATGAGACAAACCTAGAGACAGGGTGTTGATATGTGCTAGAATGCGAACGGAGCAGCAGCAATCATGTAGGTGAGTTGACTGTTTGTGGACCTAGGTAGATTGACAAAGAGCAGGTGTGAGACTAGGGGGGTCTATAGTAGGTGTAAACGATGGTGGCTCAGGTTCGGAAATGGGTTCAGGGACCAGTTCAATCAAGGAAGCATGGGTAGATGTCGGTTCAGGTGGAGTGGGGCAAGTAATGTGTTGCGCCA